GTGCTGAGGCCCACTCGGTTCCTGATCCACATCAACGATCTACCGCAGCTTCTCCGGTTGCCCTGTGCCTTTTTTGTGGACGACATAAAGATTAGGAGAGAAATTGACGCTCCCGATGACTGTGGACTACTTCAGCAAGAGGTGAACCGCTTAACCACATGGTCTGCAGAAGTTATTCTCCCGGTCACTCTAGCCAAGTCTGTATTTATGAGCCTGGGGAAGGGTGCTGACGGCCGAACCTACACCCTTGACGGCCAACCGCTATATCCCACACCCTCCGTGAACGAACTAGGTGTACTCTCACGCTACGATTTGAAGTCCGTGGACAACACGAACAGGCAATACCGTAACGGACTGCGCATGCTTTGTGCACGCAAACGTAGCTTCGGCACATAGTCTGAAGAGTTTGCCACTTGCCTCTTGTCTTCCATCATTAGACCAATGCTAGGGTACGGTTCGCCCGCCTACTTTCTGATTATCTGAGGAGAGGCATAAAATATCAAACGGGTCCAACATTTTGCTACCATGCTCATCCCGAGTTTACGTGGCTTGGGGTATGAAGACCGGTGCGAGAAACTAGGACTCTACACCCAGTCCTATCGTCGGTTGCGAGTCGACCTCATTATGACCTACCATATTCTACATCTCGGTGACTTCCCCATGCTGTGACTAATGCTGCACTTACGAGGGCCATGCAGCACATGCGGACACGGGTACAAACCAGCCGTGCCGGATGTGAAGCGAGTTCCCCACCCACTGTGCTTCGAACGGAGAGTGGTAAATATTTGGAACAATTTGCCTGAACATGTGATGGAGGCAACATCTGTGCAGCAGTTCAAAACGTTGTTAGATTTATCTTTTACCACTATTCGATTCAGAGAAAGATTGCACACTTACGATGATATCTCACCTTTGTGAGTTCTGCAACACCGTGAGTCAGACATTTTAAATGTTACATGAGAACGATCACCATATTAACGGATGACAATTTTTATAACGTTTTTCACCATATTTCGAAAGAGTTGTCGAGAATTCATTTCTACTTGCTCTATAATACAGTATTCAGTAAAGGTGGAAACGTTGGATGTTGTGGCGCGCAACAGAGCTAAGTGGCGATAGTGTTGTACACTCACATCTATTAGATAATGTCTAGGGAGCAGAAAATAACAGACACAAAGAACTCTAAATGCTATTGCATTTTATTATCCACATATTAGAAACGGTTTTCATTGTACATTGGCTGTTTATATATTTATTATATATGTATATATATTTGGCAGTAGGCAGCGGGACTTAGTTGATGTCACCTGTCAATATCAAAGGTTGCGCATCAATCGTTCTTTGAGTATGTGCACGTACCTCGGGTAGCAGATGACCGAACCGATGGCCGACAAGGAGAACCAGAAGTGGACACTTCATGACATTCGCATGCTGTGCGATCTCCCCTATCAGCTAGGCAAAACAGATTGTACATGTAGACGGCAACATGTAGACAACACTATTCCACTGTACCAGTAGTTTAGTTATCCTTCAACCTTGCATCACTATTGCTATACCGGGTTCCTTCAAATATGGATGCCCAAAATTTAAGGCTGTCACGTCTAAATGTTGAAAAAACATCAACAGTTCGTATTGGGTACTTATTCTCATGGCTGCGAAAGTGATTGTTAGCCTGACCTTCAAACGAAACCCATACACGTTTGTCGTACCATTGATCACGAGGTCTAATGTGTCTCTATCCAGTTTGTGATAGCTCACACTTCAGTTTGGATAAACGCATGTGCAAATGAGGTTGGTGAGCCGAATAGCTCACTGAGACCGCCTCAAATATGCCATGAAGAATGCCTGGTACGCTTACAGTGCACCCGATTTGAGACGGTAACAGCAAACGGATATCTGAGGCATCGATCAGTTTGATCAAAGTACGGAAGCAGATTCCAAAGGGCCCTGACCGGGAACGCTGTGGGTGTTAAGGGCCTGTGTTGCTGGAAACAACCGAGTGCTGTCCGAAAGCAACCGAAACACCGGTCCAAGAAACCCGCCAGCTAGTGAGGATAGAACTGCAAAAAATTGACCGTTGATTCATTCCCAGACTTGTCGACCATCCTGTAGGGCGGAACATTTTGCACAATATAACAGGCCTAGTGTGACACTGCCGCTTGCTGAAGCACTTGAAGCGATTTGCGATCTTGATGTCGCACATTCCACTTTGGAAGAGATATGACATGAGCCTTCCGTGTTGAAACGAAACAAAGCTTCGGGGCCCGACGACATTTCTCTATCTTTGCCCAAAGATGTAAGCAGCTATTTGTTGACCGGGATTGCAGACCTGTCAAACATGGCACAGTGCACAAGTAGTGGCCTTTCTGCATATTATTAAAAATATCTGTAGCTCGGGATGAGGATGAGAGGATTGTTGTGTTCTCCGAGCTAGGCAATTTTGTTGCAGACGATTCGTCGCCAAACTAGCCACTGAGGATGTTGCCTAGTTTGAAACCGAAACGTGTGCAACAAAACTGTCTAGCTTGGAGAACACAACAATCCTCTTTTCCTGCATATAACCGTTAATTTTTGTTTCATCCCGACTAGTTTAACGGAGTTCTCTCTTACTTATTTCCATTTCATTGTTTGTGTTCAACGCCATTGTCCAATCGTTGTTATTCTGGCGACGTGAGTTGTGGCAAATGAATCCACCGCATGTCGGTGACCAGATCGTAGTTGTTCAGAGTAACCGAAATGACTCCTCACTGTTGACACTCCCCCGATATTCCTCAACGTAGATGATGGCAGTTTCAACGCTACTCCACTTCTGTCATTCGCAGCAGTCCTGTCACGTCGCCCACTTATCCACAGTCTCCAACTCTATGTTCCACTGTCCACGTTTAACGTTGGATTCGCAAAGTAGAGCATGTAACAGACAGCAGTTGCCGCGAATTACGTATCCTTGGCACTGCGACTACCAAACCAGTGTCGGCACTGTTCAAGAAATGAGCAAACGAACAACCCGGTATATCATCTTTCACTGTTAACAACACGAGTCAGGAGAAGCGGATGATGTCGAACCGGACAGTACATGATTTTCAGCTCCAGAGCTGAAGCCGCGTTGGACTACAGTGGATTCCAGCGGATAGCAATCCGTGTGCACCCCGTCTGACAACCTCAGTGGACATAAAGAAACAATAGGTGCAGCTTCCTTAGAGTACCTTAGCAGTTTCTAAACAGCAGTCTTTAGGTACAATGGAATCAGATATGTCACTAGACATCAGGCTGGTGACGGGCACACAACAGCCACATCACCACAACCTGAAGATAGTATGACGCTAGCATTGAGTGAAAATCGCTTTGGAAAAATCGCGTTGATTATGGTTACACTCAAGTAAACTGCCAAACTTCCAAGAATCATGTCGGCAACAGCAGCAAACGATTCCTTCGATTGGAAGCCAAGGGGATGTCACGACCGACAATTAAGTAAGCCTATAGGTGTGCTCAGCTAAGGTGTAATTGGCGCTAAATGTCGAGGTGCTTGTCACAAAACATGACACTTTAACATACAGCTATGGACTACCTACTTTGTCGATCCAATCAGCCATACTGGGATATGTGCGCCGGATAAGTTGTGAATGGGTAGCGCCGCTCTGGGGTATTGATACACTCACTCACAAATTCTCAACTCGAGATTGATTAGCAAGGGTTGGTTCGCACAACAATCTTCAAAACCAGTAAGACGGAAATCAGCGCAAACGATGTCGCTAAAAACTGTAGGTCCACTACACTTGTTCTTCCGAGATAACTGGTGGAGTATCGAAATGAGGAGAATCAAGCAGCTCTATGATCAAAAGTAATGGTTGTGAAACGGGAGACGGATTAAACGTAACAGCCTAATTGAAACAAACATTAAGCGAAATTGTTGGCCAGAAGTACTGGTATGGTTCCCAACCGGTGTTGTGTCTCCGTCCGTCGCCCGTGCTGGGGATACTGAGGCTGTGAACGACCAAAAAGTAAACACGCATACAAACACACCACAACAGGGGAGAAAAGACCAATACGAACCCAGCACTCCAACGATGGCGGTATCCGATAAAATGCATATTAACAAGGTAGAACCTCTGGTGAGGGTGGGTAGAGACGCACACCAAGTATACAGAGAGAGAGGGATCAGTACCTTCATGGAAGAAAGCTAAACCGTATAGTGACAGTTAAATAAAGTGCTTGATGACTTGATTCACTAACAAACGGGTGGTAAAAAATTCATAAATTTCAAAGTAAATGCATACCAAATATCCGAAAGTTCGGTGTTTGGAAGCTTCGAAAGTTCAAAAAAGTCCTTCGCATGAAGACCACACAACTTGCCCCTTGGGTCCGGTTGCAGTCGTAAAAACTGGGACAGGTAGTATGAGTTCTGCTCCGAGCTGATCGCCCATGGATCCAACGACCCGCTCAAACATGTTCGTCCATCAATGGTTTGTTGCGGAGGGTGTGGTGTTGAGAAAGCAGGGGCGGGGTGGAAATCCATTTTGTGGTCGCCTTGCTTTGGGAGAAAAAAAGAATCGGGGTTCCAACTGAAAGTGTCCGATAGTCGTAGTTGGAACGTGAGAAATATTAGTACAAATACTTTAGATAGTCGAAGGAAACCCGAAGTGTTTAGTTAGGGAATCATCATTCATCTCGTTCCTTTTTGACCCATCAGTAGTTCATATCGTGGTTTAGCGATGAGAGATCGTAACCCATGACATCCACCTTAAGGTGCCGTAAATAATCAGTTTTGGTCCATCTGCTGCAACATAGCACTATAAACTTCAATCGCAAAAGAAGTCATGTACCGCACGCACAAGAGGTAACTAAAGTAGCCGCAAGGATGAGCCAGCTTCGGCGGCACCAAGTGAACGGTGGCGGAGTAAGTAGAGCCACTGAACGTTCGTTTCTGGTTTCCGTTGCAGAGAAACGGACACTGACAAATCTCACTCATGTCATGTGCAACAAACATAGATCAACTTAGTGTGAATAACATCGCAGACTGTATAGCAAACAGGAACAGAGCCGAGGACTGAGTTGTCCTGTGCAAAGTTATAATCAAGGGACTGATTGCTCAACTTCATTGGGCTCTTTCGTGGACCTTTGCTTCGGATAAGTTGAAATAGTATCCACTCACTCAAGGTGGTACAGGGTCTCGGCAACTAAATACGTTTTTATAAATTCGAAAACTAAGCAGATGACGTGTCCCGGTATAACGAAAATTCTGAAAATGAGTTCTCAAGGAAACCAAATTCTTAGCACCGATTGAATTAGGCTATGCTGCAGAAATACATCCCTAGTTAAAGCATCTCAGGTCTAGAGGATTGTGAGTTAAAGAGCCACCAGCATCATACTTGAAGACAACCTCTGCCACCATTCCATTCTTCATCCACCTTGTATTGTTCACCAGTCGAAAGTTGAATGACGTGTGACCAATGATCCCGAAATCAGAACAAGTTTGGATCGCAATATCTACGGCACTATTAAAATACATACAGTTAAGTGAATTGGGCAAACATCAATTGTTCACGATCCTGCTATATTAATGTCAACAGCAAATAACAATTAAACGGGCGGCCAAAAAAAGCGCTGTCAAAACTACTGCTCAAAAGCAGACAGCCAGAAGACAAGTGAACATGTGATATACGTGTGAGAGCAATAACAAAGTCACTGACCAATCATTGACGGTGCAATCACGGAGTGAGGAGGTTAACGGAAGGCCCACAAATACATGCATGGTTATGAGAAGGAGGTAACTATGTTACAAGGTCATGGAGATGGCGACATCAGACTTGGTGTATGGGGGGAATCTGTTAGCGTCGAGACAAAAGTAAGGGGTCAAATATGATTGCAGGGTTATTCGAAGTACTCGTTGTGTGGATCGATTGCGCCGCGCAATCCCAATGTAGACCGCGATAAACATGAAGTGAACCTTGGTTAATGCGATCATTGGGACTGTCGTCGAAGCAGATGGAAATTGGGTGTTGCCCGACCGAAAACACTGCACATCACGATGCGTTCGGACCATGTTTAATCCCATCAGGTGGAGAGTACGCGTCGAATCCAGAACCATTGGAATATTAGCCGAAGCCTCTACCTTTTTGGCTACTGGGCCACGACATGCAACACTTGGCACTACGGTTACTGAATGAATGGAGGGTCATTTGAAGTTTTGTTGTGTGAATGGATTGCGTTACGACAATTTGCAGTAAGCCCTAACTCTGCCTGAACTACGAGCGCACAGGGCTCTTATGACATTTACATAACTATTGGGCACATCTCTCCTGAGCAGATAGTCCCAAAGGGCACATCGATCCGCTAAGTCGAATGCGCCTTTGGTGTCGAGAAACACGACTACGGCGGTCGCCAATAAATATGGCGGTGCTCCAACAACTGACCTAAAGTCAAGATATGGTTAATACACCTTCGATTTCGACCAAACCCGGCTTGCTTATAGCGAATCTGGCTTTCACGAATGCCAGCCAGTCTGTGGAGAACGATAGAGGCAAGCAATTTAGAGAAATTGAAACCAAACTGACTCATTGATGATTGCCGCAGTCCGAACAAGATCCTCCCTTTAAAATCAACACTGTGACGAAGCGGCCCCAGTCTGTTGGAGCAGTCTCCTGTTCTCAATGCTTTACTAATAAGTTGTGTGAATCATACATAAAAGGTCCCCTGAATTTGATGAGGGTTGCAATAGGCCTAACTGCTACGACGGCATTAGTCAATTTTAACCGTGTGATCTCATGTTCGACTTCTGCGCATGAGGGCGGATCCAAGTGGACGGCCCAGAGAGAAGGGTAAGCAATGCCGGAGAAAAAATGTGGTAAGCTAGTTTGTTTTCAAAGTGTTGGACCCAACAGTTCATGCGTTTTGACAAGATTTAGATCGGCTGTCCACTTTCGTCGCGTATGGTCTCGCCAACGCCAGGTCTCCGGAATAACTTATGATGGTTACCATGCACAGCGGATGTTTCCATGTCCGACGCACGATGAGACCATCAAACTTTGCGGTCTCTCTTCAAGCTAGCACACAGATTTTCCCTTGATATCTTAAGGAGTCTCATTGTGTTCATTTCCAGCCGGAACATATCGGCGATTATCTGATGCCTAGGTTGGAAATTTGAGTTGCCACATGAAGACGCCTGCTGATAGTAACGTCTGGCGAATATGCGACCAGATGCCAGCGTACTTTGATACGCATTTAGAACATCTGGCTTCGCCAGTTGGCAAGTATCTATGTCCTCACAGCGTCGTTGCGGACGTCCGCCAAAACGTACCCACAGGTAGGCACATACGAGTGCGTAACCAGAGTCCACGATCGTGCTCCAAATTAAGCGAATTCTAGATACAGCAACGCTAAAAGCAATCGATCGCGATGTGATCGATTTGCGTCCATCTCTGGTCCGAGACTGGTGGGCGCCATGTCACTCTTCTGCGGGTGCTCGCGAGAAAGTAATGAGCATCTTCACACAGGTGAAGCAACCGTCCACAGTTATCACTGGGGAACCCTACATCGTGTTGGCACCCAAATGCAGATTAAAAGTGCACAGTTTTCCAACTTGGGCGTTCAGGTCGCCAGCGAGCATCTAAGTATTCGTAATCTTTTTGTGACGTAGGAACTTTATCAGTTAGTGGTAGAATTCATCCTTCACCGAGCGTCCCGAGCAACGCATGGCACTGGTCACAATGGAATGCACGTACTACAACATCGACATTGCTAGCTGACCAAGGCCAACTGCACGAGGGTGGTGCAGTTTACACGTTCTAGTGTCAGCACAGTACCACATGAACACAGAGTCGGATTTATACTGACCGACCACCTAAATGGTCACCTGGTAGAAGAGCCGACTAGCATCAGCCAACAACTGATGACACTTCGCATGCGACTTAAAAGAGGTAAGTTTGCCACTTTTATTAGCGCCTACGATCCCACCATGTGCTATTCTGATGACACACCGGATGATTTCTACCTTCAGTTGTCCTCCGTGAAATTGGATCAGCCAATGGGATCGGCGATCGGTTACCCGCACTTGGCGCTACTCACAGCCTGAGGAGAAAGAAAACAGTTTGCACTGGGTGTGAGTAGTATAACAACTTGGATGTAACTACGAAATGATCATGCCCACCTACTCGACTGTGTCATCGTGAGCCGACGCGACGCCTGAAATGCGCGTGACAGGTATATTGACTGGAGCTGTGTGTGGCACAAAATTGTAAATATATCTTCGCAAATCGATGTATTGCTCAGCTGCCGTGAATCCGTGCAAATTAAATGTTCGTTCCTTAGGTACCACAGAAGAAACAGTGGAACTGGGAACGCGATGGCTACCCGTCTTGATAATGCGGACTGCATCGCTTCGGTCAGCGACTTGTGGCACAACATCAAAGTACAGATTACGGTTGCAGCCGAGGATACGATCGGGAGCGCAAACTGTAAGCGGACCGATTGGTTTTATGACAACAGTGCGACGATCGGCGCATTGATGTCGGAGGAATGCGGCATTCGTTGTACATGTGGAGGACCCTGTCGACTCGGAGAAGGAGACTTAGTTTCGCAAACTTCGACGGCGATTGATTCGAGAGTACCGTCGCATCAAGAATGCATGGTGTATAGAGAAAGTGGAGCAGACGGAATGCTACGCCGAACGCCGCCAACATAAGGAATTCAGTGAATCTTTGAAGGCGGGGATGGACTCACCTTTTATCCCCTGAGAACGATGGTGGATGCTATTTCACGCGCTGTCTGCAAGTAGACTTTGGACATACTGCAATGTTCGTAATTTGCATGGTAGTGGAGGATAAGACGCGCTAGATCACAGTTAGCTTGTAAATCATAACGGTCCGAAACTGTCCCCCGTGGCCCAGTGGCATAAGCTGCTGACTGGCGGTGCAAGCCGCTGGTGGTCGTGGATTCGAATCCTGATGGATCCGATGGATGAGCACTACTGACGATGTCCAACAGGATGAAACTGTAGTCTAGCGTTTTTCCGAGCATGTGGAAGACTATCTGGCTGTGACGAACCTCAATTATCTATAATGCAAATATGACCAAAGCAATTAAACCCTCTCTTGGACAGCCGTTCAGAGATTGACTGGAGCATGTTGTACGATCAACAGCAAAAAGAAGTGGAGATGTGTGTTGCTGACGCACCAACAATGCATGGCACGCAGAGGGCAGTTGGTCAGTTGCAAAACGGCAACTGCGCTTGAGCTGATGGGATAACGCCATAAGAGTGCTGAGACGGTGGACCCATGCTGATACATGCGCTGCACCAGTTGGTGCAACACGTGTGGATTGAAGCGGAAGTGACGCCTGACTTGAAGGGTGATCTTGTGCTATCACTGTACAAGGGAAAAATAAGCAAGCAATGTCCCACAAATTTTCGTGGTACAAACGTGCTGAGTTGTGGCGGTAAGGTGATCGTACGAATACTGCTAAACCGCCTCGTCACTCACGTCGTTGAGCCACAATGTTTCCCTTTTCCAGCATTCATTTGAATACTGGATACGG